CTCTCTCTCTCTCTCTCTCTCTCTCTCTCTCTCTCTCTCTCTCTCTCGTACAACCTGTATGTTCCTGAGTATAAATGTGGGACCATCTACTGGAGCGTGCGTAGCCTCCCAGAACCCACATCTCTGAAGAAAACTCCTTCTGTCCCTCACCATCCATCAACTGCCTATAGTTTCTCAGAATGGGGTGGGATATCACGAGCCTTTCCCCCATCCGTGTTGGATGGGACTTGGACAAGGCTTGTGTCTGTCGTCCACACTGAGTTCATGTGCAGCACATGGATTTCAGGGACATACTTCTGCCCATAATGCTGTGTCCAATCAGTGTTTTCCACAAAAGGCGAGGAAAGAAGGAAGTCTAGCAGGTGACATTTGCATTTTTATTAGTTCTTTGAGAGTTGAGGGTTTGTACAATGTGTTTTGTTTTTATCCCCAACTCTTCTTAGATCCATCCCTACTTCTCTTCCCACCCAACTTTGTATCCTTTTTTAAAAAACCTTCAAGCCCAGTGTGTGCTGCTCAAATATCCTTGGATACCTGGTCTTCAACTGGAACATGGTAACTTATCAGAAACTACACCCTTAGAAAAAAGGCTCTACTCTCTGGGCTGCCAACCATTGCCATTTTTCTCCACAGCTAGGGGTGGGTGGTATTGTGTGTCCATCTTCCCTCTCCATGCGGGGACTTGGTCTGGCTTGACCTCGCAGAGATCTTGTGTGTGCTGTCACAGTTTCTGTGAGATCATGTGTGCACTTGCTCTGCTGTATCCAGAAAATAATGCTTCCTTGTCGCTCTCCTCCACCACTGGCTCTTCGACTCTTCTCGCCTTCTCTTCCACAATGATACCTGAGCTGTGGGGGTGGGCTGCTGGTTATGGTGGTGGTGCAGTCTTTACCCTGTTGATGCTGTGTAGCCAAACGTGGTTTGGTTTGGCTTCAGTGATGTTTTTTCACCTAGGAAGATGAATGAGGATGCTTCAAATTGTCTTTTCTTACTGAAATAGTTTGTGCTTATATCCAAGGAGGACAAAATATCTACCCTACATCCTATCCGGCAGGTATCTATTAGGATGAAATGAAGTGAAAAATGTTGCTGAATTTTGAAAAATCTATAATGCATGGTATTTCTAAAAGTTCATGTTCTTTGTTCCCCAATTGGATGATATTTGAAACCTGCCTTGAGAGTTTTGAATTTATGGAGACTCAATGTGGTTGGACCTAGGGAATAATTTTTTAAGTGCGCTCCAGAAAATTTTGATGATTTGCCAAGCTTGGAATTGCTGGTCTTGGACAATTTCTCCTTCTAGAGTAAGCATAGTCAATAATGTATATTTAACTATCTTACTCATGTTAAAGGGGAATCTATTGATCAGTGGTTCTAATAATGGCACTATCAGGTATTTTTAGGACAGAGATTTCATGACTATTTTAAGGGTTCCAGGATGAGGTGTATGGATGTTCCTGGATTTGAACCATGATATATATTTTACATACTATAATATATACCTGTGCATATATAGTATAATGCTTAGATATGCAACTAATAAGTACTAATTGGAGGAAGTAACTTTTCCAAGTCCAGTGTCATTACCAGTGAGATGAGGATGATAATGCCTACACTGCAGGAGTTTGGAAGACTAATTTGAATAGCTAATGCAGAGCCACTGGGATTGGACATAAAAACTTTCACTAATGATCTTTTTTCCCCCTCAAAATGCCTCAAGGTGAATAAGTGAATATAGCATGAGGGCTGGCTTGTTAGGGTTTCTGTCCCACCCGGTACCCCACAACCGGCATACCCCAAAGAATATCACTCACAAGACTCCATAAGATTATAAACTGACTGGCCCATTAGCTCAGGCTACTTATTAGCTCTTATAACATATATTACCCCATTATCCTTATCTATGTTAGCCACACATCTCAGTACCTTTTTCAGCTGGGCAGGTTACATGCTGTCTCTTCGGTGGCCTGCACAGGAATGGCGGAGGGAGCTTCCTCCTCTCTAGCCTTCTCCTATTCTCATTGCCCCACCTCTACTTCCTGTCTGGTTGACCAGCCTATACTTCCTGCCTGGCCAATCAGCGTTTTATTAAACTACATGATTGGCAGAATACAGACAATTCTCCCACACCCAGTGAATGCTCAGCCCTAAATAAGACATTGATCCTCAGTGAACATTTCAGAAGAGAGGCCAGAGAGAACGTGTAAGTGCTGTGAGAAAGAGAGGAAGGTGTGAAAGGTCTTTAAGGAATGACAGAACCATAGAAATCATGAACTCGCAATAGCTGCTTTTGCATCCAATGACCCTATGGAGGACTGAGCCAGTCAACTGTCAGTCATTGACAGGGGAGAGACTCACAGGGTCCTGCCCCTCTCTGCTGAGATACTGGCTGCTGACAGGTCCTAGGAGGAAGAGTGTCATTGGTCTTAGTTGTACACTGACAGTGAGCTGACCACGTTTTAGTGTATAGTTCCATGGTCACACAGACATCCCTGGGTAAGCTAAGCGGGTCAAAAGAGAAAACAAAACAAAAGGCACGAATATAAGTGCAAACTGGTACAGTCGCTTTGGAAATCAGTATGGTGATTTCTCAGAAAATTAGGGAACAACCTTTCTCAAGACCCAGAAATACCACTTTCGGGGATATATCCAAAGGATGCTCAATCATAGCACAAGGTCATGTGCTCAGCTATGTTCATAGTAGCATTGTTTGTCAGAGTTAGAACCTCGAAACAACCTAAATGCCCCTTGACCAAAAAATGGATAAAAAAAGATGTGGTACATTTGCACAATAGAATACTTCACAGTGAGAAAAAAA